TACAATCTTCCGTGTAATTGTCGAACAATTGTCAAGCTGGAGCTAATAAATACGTATGTTGGAGTCAATGTGTACGAAGGCTCGACTATTTATGTAGTTGGAGACTACATGTTTATTATCCCTCAAAAAGTGTCTTCAGTGAAGCTCTAGTAATCTTAGTTAAATTTTAGTTGTCTCGTTTTGTTGAACATACAAAACTTGCCGTAATTTGGTCGCTGGTACAAATGATTGATTTTTGTTGAAAAAATTTTCAAGATGGCGTCTATTCCGTCCCCTAAAACAGTCCCACAATGCACTGCGATGCCAACTCGACCCAGTTTTCCCCTCAATATCGGAATAGATAATAAGAGAATTCATTAGACAATCGATAATGACACGGTGGTAAAATTCACACCCTAAGATTGCTCACACTACAAAAATTTAATCACGTTAAACCACCCAAATAAAGGATCCGGAAAAGTATAGTCCCGTGACTCTTGTAAGGAACGAGCGCTATATCGCTGTATAACATTTAGGCGTCATTTTTCATAAGTTATTATATTTAGTTAGGCAAGCATTTCCCCCTCAGGGCCAAAGGGAACCGTCATCAGAAATGTTTCATATTTCTGCATCAAAGGAAAAAAACATTTCAAACCGCCAACWTTTTTTTTTTTTTTTTGATTTTCTGACAGTGAAAAAATCTTTCATTAGCTGAATGGATTTTCTGTTTACACTGACCAAATATTTTGTTGGACTTCTTTTTCTTTTTTGATTTTTCCCTCGTGAATTTCATTAATTTCGATTCCGTTTATAATTAAGTTGTTGTTTTTACGGTTGAAATGATGAATTTGAATGCTCTCAGACTCAAGATCAGCTCAAGTGTCAACAAGGTTAATATTCTGCTTACTTGTGTCTAAAAATAATCTCCGCTCATGTGGTAACATAATAGCTATCATAACATCACGTATTATCTTTCATTTCTATTTCTGGAAACACTTATAATGACTGTGATCAGGTCACTAGATAAAGGACAAAGAAACAAGCCATTCGCAACATAACACCGTTGAGTGCCTGGGAACCTCAGTAAAGCTTGACTCATCAGCGTCAAAACTTTTAGCTCTTATTCATACTCTGAATTTTGTGAAAGAAACAGCTTTGCAGCGTCGGTAGGCACCAAGGACTTACGCAATTTGACAAGGGTAAACAGAAAAGATCACATCAAAGGCACAATAGTCTAGTGGTCTTTGAATTTTGGATTTAACTATGGTTCACGGACAAGCCTTGGAACAAGGGAATCTTCCAACCAGGAGAAGAAGCTTAGGGATTCAAAGAAGACAGTCTATAGTTTTAACAGACGATTTTTGCAACCAGCTCGCACAAGAGGAACTGATGGCAGCTATCAGTATTCAACGCTATGAGGAAGCCTACAAGAACGTGTATGGAGCAACAAGGTCTGTACAGAGAAGGAACTCGGCCACTCTTCCTATGAATAATTCAACTATCTTAAGGAAATTTGGCTCAGATCCTTGTTTGATGGGGTTTCTTGGTTAGGAAGAACCAAAGGATGTTAGTTGCCTTCCTAATGAGCAACGTGGGCACGCACTGTGAGAGAAATGTCATCAGTTCACGAAACATAACATGACTAAAAGAAGTATAAAAATAAAGATGGTTTCGAGCTGCTGATCAAGGTATTATTGCAAGACAATAAATCAAGCTGGAATAGTGTCAACAAAGGCCAGTCACTTTAATCTAAAGTCTCTTCAAGTGAAAATGAAAAGAGAATATTTCCGACAGGAGACTTTGCAAAATCAAACACAACTTTTGTTCTATTTTTATAGCATCATATAATATATATTTATTTTGATGAACTTGACGGGATTTGCATTTTGTAGATGATCCGACAATATTATGTAGCCATGAAATCAATAAAATGCAGCCATAGAAGAAAAAAAATTAATGTAAAATTGAGAAACAATCTTAATTTGGTTGGTTTGTTAGTTGATCAGTATTTGATTACCCGTGCTTTCGTGTCTAGAGGACTGGATTTGTCAGTCAGATTATCTTGATATATTTTGTATTTATACTTGTCCAGAAATGATTCAAATCTGTGCGCTATGTTGACCTACCTCCGCGCGGTTAATATTATTTCACAACAAATTCTTTTCCAACATTTCTCTCAGGAAAAATAAATTGCTGTGTAAAAGTTTACTTTATGGTCAAGTTTTTAATTCTCGAGAATCATTTTAATACTTTACAATTATTTTGTGTTAATACTCGTGTATTTATGTTCCCTTATGACTTGCCCGTCATCTGACTATGACTGTTTTAATTTTAGTACAACTTTGCATGTCTAGTACGGTGTTGGTTTATTTGTGGGTTTGGGTGAAAGGCCATGCCAGGAAGGAAGGACTTAGAAACAGTTCATGGTTCTGTGTGGAAGCTTGAACCAAACTGGCTTGTTCTGCCGAGACACCTAAAAATATCACGCAAGAATCAGTAAAGAGTAAGCTAGCTTTAATAGACTTACAAAGAAACGTTTTAAGTTCTTTTGCAAATGGAAAGTTGAATTCAACTGAAAAGAGGGACTTGTGACAATTAAGCCATGCAGTTTCCTCGGGACGGCTGATAACGAGTTACTTAAGGAAATATTCTGATCGTAACGACCAACAGTCAATCCGAAAACTTATCAGTTTATTCCCGCGTTAGGCTGCAGTGTTTCATCTTATCGACATCGCTCATTTAGCCGACCTGAGCCACATCATATCACCCCTTGCAAACATGCTCATTCACAAACTTTTATCTTTTCAATACAAACAGGATTTGGTCATCCCATTTTGAATACTTGTGGTCAGGTATCTCGAAGAGATTTGGCTGAATAACTATTACAGAGATATTGAGGTCAAACGATGGGCGGGCATTGGACTTTCATATTTTCGCAAGTTCCCCCTCAGCTGCCCCTTGCAAAACCTGACAAGCTAAAATAGCCATGTCCTGCCTTTTGGTCATTTCACGGATCGACAAACCATAGCTAGTGTAAATTTAATTAAGATTGTTTCTTAGGAGTTAAAGATAAAACCATTCTATTGTATTACCACTGGGCTGGGTACTTTTATTATTCGTAGGATGTTTTGAATATTTATTTCGCAATGCTTCTCAGAGCCAAGTCGGGTCGTATCTGAAAACCTCCGATGCGTCAGCAGCCTCGTCCGTTAGCTAAATTTTTTTCATCCGTTTGGTTTGCCGTTTTAAAGAAACGTTTTGAAGAAGAAAGCATCAGGAGCACAACCTTAAGCTAAAGTTCAAACTAAACCAACTGCATTTGTCCCTACTGTCCTGTCGTTATTTTGTGAAAAAAGACCTATAGTAGATCTTTTAGTCTCGTGCTTCCATGATTGATGTTTTGGCGCATGCGCAACGTATCTTTGTTTACTGCGAGTTCGGCTTTTTTTCTTATCTGTGCTAATGGATGTACTGATAACTTATCTGGGTAATCCATAACTGAGATTGCTTTTAAAGACTTTTCTTCTGGAATGTTACTTTCGACTACCATCATACGATATTTTCAGTTTCTGCCGGCTTATTGATGAAGATTTGATATCAGCAGAGTCAAAAGGGCTCTCTGAATTCAAACTTCGGGCACGTTTGGTTTTGGTCACATGTTTTTTGATTAGAGGAAAGCGTTGGCGAAATCGACTAGAAAATACGGGGAAAAAAAGTTCTTTTCAATAATTGAAAGGTCACAATAGTAAACTAATGTCTACTGAGTATGTTACCATAGTAGACACGTTTGGCGGGAAATGCACAAGGAGGGTATATAGGAGTTAGTAAAGTCACGTGAGAGATTAAGAAATAAATAAAAATAAAAAGGAAAAAGAGGGTAGATTGATATACAAATCGAAGATTGGAAATGATCACCAATAAAAAGGAAAGAAAAACCTGTATGGTAAAAGACTTTAGCGAGAGTGCTGTCAGTAAACGAAAAAACATGGGTTCTTTTAAAATTCAAGCGATTTGATTGGATAGCGTCTATTTTCTTGCTTCTGRATTGGTTGATAATGGATAGGAAGCCATTTGACTGTGATGATACTGTAAGGACCATCCTTGGAGGTCCCATCATGTGAAGCATTAAGTTTTAATCAGAATCAATAATGAACGCTTAAATCTTCACTGGGGTTTGCTAAGAGCCTTTCATACGAACGTATTTACCCACGGTGTATTTACACAAATGTCTAGGCTAATGGTGTTTGAGCTATCTCAGATCGTCTCGAGCATTCATGTGACGTTTTTTTAATGCAAGAAATAATTTGAGACGTGTTCAGTCAGTAGCCTTAACCTACACCCGATACCTCACTAACGAGGTTTTACATTATGTCTATCAATCAAGTCCTAAGAATTAAACCAAAACGGCAAGAAAATGCAGGAGCTAACAGGAATAAGAATAGAGACTAAAACATGACCTTCCACATGTCAAAACTAGGCGCAGATAACTTAATATCTAAATATAGGGTTGCCGATCAGGCGAGGGGCAAGATCAAGCTATTAAATTTAGTCCGTGTATTATCAATAGTTTTGCCTACTCTTGGCACAATAAAATCTTTCAAAATATTGAAATAATTTCAATATTAGTAGTTTTTAGTTAAAGCTTTTTATAATTTTGATGCAAGTATGGCTGAAGGCCAGATAAATGTGTGGTTGAAAGTGCTATTTCTGATCAAGATAAATGTCTTTTTGTGAGTATGTCGTGTCATTGAGTCAGTCTCTGATCATAACATGAAAGTCCATACTTGTCTAATGTAGTAGAAAGCTGGTTTATTTCAGACTGAGCATGTTTTCCACATATGTGGAAATTTTTTAACAAAGACAAAAGGTCACTTCGGATGTCTGCAAGAATCAAGAATAGATCAAGTCATGTTTGTTTTGTATTTACACAATATTTTTCCTTAAGAAACACTTAACATTACGCCATTTGTTTTTCGGTGGTTTGCATGAATTCGCCAATTTTAGGATCTCTTCTGTGCCCCTATGTTTACAGGTCTGAGTGGAGTATTCTTTTATTAGGACAAACGGGAAAAAACAAGCAACAACAAGTCCCAACACAGAAACCCCAAAAATAAACACATTATGATCCGGCTATTTTATTATTTCGGGTGTCATTCTCTAGAGTATCATTTTTTCGTGCATGGGAAGATGCATGAACATGGACACCACTCAAACAAAGAATGTTATTCTCAAGAGAAAGACACGTGGTCTGAAATGGGAAAACATTACGCCCAAAGTAAAGAGGTCTATCGCCGGTTTCAGTCTAAGGAAACTCCGCAGTTAAGAACAGCGTGTAATACTGGGTATTTCTGTCGATAAAGATGTCTAGTGTTATTTATAACAGTGCTAACAGTGCAGGGGTGAAAGGTTCTGCGGAAGGGCGTGATGAAGTTATTTAAATACTGACATTGTTAGCTCACCAATAAAATATAACTTTTTTAGACGATTCCTGAAGCCCAAAATAGTTATAATGAAGAAATAGAAAACGCGCGCGCGTGCTGTGTGCTGTCATAAAGCACGCAGGGATTGGCAGAACACGAGAGAAGTGTTAAGAGAAGCACGACGCGTAGCGGAGTGCTTCTGGACACTTCTCGAATGTTCTGCCAATCCCCAAGTGCTTTATGACAGCACACAGCACAGCAAGCAAGTTTTTTTATTTCTTTTATAAAACATAAATTACAATAATAGATAGGAATGACGCAACGGAAAGTGCGCGCGCGTGCAATGTGCTCTCATAAAGCACGCGCTCCAAACCAATCAGAACGCTACATTCATAACAGTTATTTTATAACTGACTTTAATAGAAAGAAGCTGCGGCTTTAGGGGAACCTCGATAATACGACCACTGATACAAGAACGTAACCTTGATAATACGACCACTGATAGGGGAACCTTGATTATACGACCACTGATACAAGAACGTAACCTTGA